AAGGATGCATGGCATTAAGGGTAAAGTATTAGCATGGATAGAGGATTGGTTGACTAACAGGAAGCAAAGAGTGGGGATAAATGAGTGCTATTCTAGCTGGCAGTCAGTGACTAGTGGTGTGCCTCAGGGATCAGTGTTGGGACCGCAATTATTTACAATTTATATAGATGATTTGGAGTTGGGGACCACGTGTAGGGTGTCAAAGTTTGCAGATGACACTAAGATGAGTGGCAGAGCAAAGTGTGCAGAGGACTGTGAAACTTTGCAGAGGAACATAGATACATTGAGTGAGTGGGCAAAGGTCTGGTAGATGGAATACAATGTAAATGAATGTGAAGTCATACATTTTGGTAGGAGTAATAATAAATAGGATTATTACTTGAATGGTAAAAAGTTGCAGCATGCTGCTATGCAGAGGGACCTGGGTGTCCTTGTGCATGAATCACAGAAGGTAGGTCTGCAGGTACAACAAGTAATTAGGAAGGCAAATGGAATTTTGTCCTTCATTGCTAAAGGGATTGAAATTAAAAGCAGAGAGGTTATGTTGCAGCTGTACAAGGTGCTGGTGAGGCCACACCTGGAGTACTGTGTGCAGTTTTGGTCTCCTTACTTGAGAAAGGATGTATTGGCACTGGAGGGGGTGCAAAGGAGGTTCACTAGGTTGATTCCGGAGTTGAGGGGGTTGGCTTATGAGGAGAGACTGAGTAGATTGGAATTATATTCATTGGAATTCAGAAGATTGAGGGGGGATCTTATAGAAACATATAAAATTATGAAGGGAATAGATAAGATAGAAGTAGAGAGGATGTTTCCACTGGCAGGTGAAGCTAGGACAAGAGGGCATTGCCTCAAGATTAGAGGGAGCAGATTTAGGACTGAATTGAGAAGGAATTTCTTCACCCAGAGGGTTGTAATCTATGGAATTCCTTGCCCAGTGAAGTAGTTGACACTACTTCAGTAAACGTTTTTAAAAAAAAAGGTAGATTTTTTTTGAACAATAAAGGAATTAAGGGATACGGTGAGAATGCGGGTAAGTGGATCTGAGTCCACGAAAAGATCAGCCATGATCTTATTGAATGGCGGAGCAGGCTCGAAGGGCCAGATGGCCTACTCCTGCTCCTAGTTCTTATGTTCTTATGTTCTTATGTTCTCAATAGTTCAATCCCTCTAGCCCTGACAACATTCTTGTAAATCTTTTCTGAGCCTTTTCAGGTTTCACAACATCCTTCCTACAGCAGGAGATCAGAATTGCACACAGTATTCCAAAAGAGTCTTCTATAATAAAAATGGATACAAAGACAAGTTGATGGAATTTACTTGGTCCAGACAAACTGCAATTCCAGTTATCAATCACATTAAACTCGGAGTATCAATATGGTGAAATATTTTAATCTTGTGATGATGTGTGGCTTTAAGTGGTTATCTTGTCCTTTTTCTTTGAAAAGAGAAGTTTTAACACAGAGTTTACAGAGCTGTCTAGTTGGAAAGCCAGTGAAGTAAACTGCTTGTGAGGTCTTGGGTCTTTTTTGAAAGTTGGAACAATAGAAATAGCCTGAATGGGTGTGACCAAATTCTCTCAGAACCAGGATCTTTAGTTTTAGCTTTCAGTAGCAGAAGCTGCTAGGGTTGTGTAAAGGTACCACATTTCTCTTTTCTACAGCTGAAAGCTGGAGTTCTCTCTCTCCCTCTCTCTTTCTCTCTCTCAGAATGGTCTTTTGATGTACTTTCCTCCTGGATTGGAGAACTGCAAATGAGACAATCTGTTTTCTGAATTAGTCTTTTGCCAAGGCTGTGTTTATAGGATGTTGCTATATTGGAAGAATTAATTAGTAATAGTTACTGTATCTATTATTCTGTTAAATTTTCCAATAGAATTGTTATTTCAAGTTCCTCTTTCTTTTATTGCATTTTAATTATAGTGTTTCAATAAACTGTGTTTTACTTAACGTCAAGTAGTTTGACCATTCAAATTACATCTGGAACACAGCACCTCACATTTACCTTAAAAATAAGACAAAGTTAGGATCTAGGCTTCCTTCTTAATATATTTTGAGGGGTTATAGTCTGGTCCATAACAATGTTGAGGAGGTGATTTTTTTATACAGTGGAAACTTTGTGCCTGATTGCTGATTTTGGAACAAATTATGCTCAAGATTACTCTCTTCAAAATTATTCTTCATATTTCTCCTTAAACTTGTTTTCATATCCAAACCTGAATGCTGACACAGGGGACACAAATCAGCAGTATTTTAACTTTTTTTAAAATACAGATGTTGTCAGACCGGCTGTGTTTCTGCATCACTTTCTGTTTTTGTGTTTTACAAAATCATAGAATGGTTATAGCACAGAAGGAGACAATATGGTCCATCAAGTTTATCCACCTCTCTGCAAGAACAATTTATCTAGTCCTACTTACTCTCCTTCCTTCCAAATATTTTCTCGTCAGCTTCTTACCAAATTCTCTTTTGTAAAAATAGCATTTTTCCTCATGTTGCCTTTGTTTCTTTTGCCAAACAGTTTAGTTCCATGGGCCGATGTTCTCAACATTTAAAGAAGATCTTCCATAATCAGTCACACATCCCTCATAACTTCTAAGGATAACAATCACAGTTACCTCAATCTGTCAATGGAAGTAAAGTCCATCATTCCTGAAACAATTTTATATGTTCTCTTCCGCTCCCTTCCCCATTGCCAAACTTTCTACAGTGTGGCCTCAGAATCAGACACAATGCTTCCATTGAGATTGGACCAGTGTCTTCTAAAGGTTCATCTTATCTTCCATACTATTGTATTTTATGCCTTTATAAAGCCCAGATCCCATATTCCTTTTGACTGATTTCTCAGCCTGCCTTCCCACCATCCACAATTTGTATGCATTTTCACCCGCATCTCTCGCTTTCTGTGGCCTCTTTAGATTTCCTTCGTTCTTCCACCCAAAATGTATCACCTCAGATTTGTCAACTAACTACATTTTTGGTAAATTTGTTAATCATTTTTGATTTTATTTAAAAGTCTAAAGTAGCAGAACTTACCCCAGGACAATAGCTGAAGGGCACAGGGTCAGGGACCTAAGAGGCCTAACATGTTACACCAGCGTCAATATAAGAACTTGGTTTGGCAAGTAAATCTAAATATTCTGCTTGTGGTTAGAACACATTTAAAGCATTCCTAAGAATTTGCTTTATCTCATATATCAACAATTTATAGACTGAATTGTTGCAAAATAAGCTTCTAAAAGTATGTATGACTTTCCTCTTAAATTATCTTTTCCTTTACTTATTTCATAAATACATTGCTGACAAGTTTACTAATCTTATTTGTTTTTGTTTAAAAGGTCTATCACAGCAGAATGTAGACTAATGAAATAGCTGAATTTTTATAATAGATTCACTCTATATCACAGTATATTCAATTGACCTGATATATATATATACTCTGTTGATTAAAAGCAAAGACTTCCAGATAGCTCATACAATGAAACAAACAGGAGAGAAATCTGTTCTGGAGTTTTCAGTCGTGAAATGTACAATCAAGATACACGTCATGGAATAAACAAAGGTCCCAGAAAGGAATCCACAGTAAGCATGAACAATATTTTTAAATTGACTTAATGAATAAAAAATATACATTTTCACTTTTTTATATATTTATTTGAAAAATGACATCTTGTTGCAAGGACTGTCTGTGCTTTACATTGCTGTGTTAATTCTTGGAGAAGTTAGGTTTATTAAATCCATAGTAGTGGGTTGACTTATGAAGAAGCAATATGCTTCCAACTTAATAGAAAATATTATTTTACATAAGATTTTTTCTGAAAGGAATTCAAATTCCACACATTCAAGAAAGATGAATGAAACATATGTTGAAACAATCTTAAATGTATCAAAAGTACTGATCTCATCAGTGCATTCAAGAATTGCTTGACTGAGGTATTTGTAAATTGTGCAACCATGTCAAAGAAGTTCTAATTCTTAAAAAGTGTTAGAGCCCTCACATTATTTTTATTTTATACTTTTATTAATTTTGGTTTGGAGCTGTAAACTAGTAACTGTGACTTTTGACTGCAGGATAACAGTTGGTATGAAAAGGAAAATATATCAAACAAGACTTTGTTTAATTGGATGGCGAGGCCTGGAAGTTAATTGCAAGTTGGTTCCTGGTCAATAGGTTTGGCAGATGCTTCATCACTGGGGAAGAGCATTATGTTTAAACAGATAACAGAAGTTGGCAATTAATCAGATCTGTACTTGGGAATTGGTTGCAGTAAATCTGGAAAAGACCTTTTGCTGAAGTAGGTGGCATATGTGGAATGGTAACAGGGACCTTGTACAGGAGACTGTCAGTCTGTCAGGAAATGATCAGAGTTTGAATTGGGTTTTTGGCCTGTGTTTACAAAAAAAAAGCCACTAATACTACAGCATGAAGATTTCACAGCTGCCTGCCTACCTCCCCTTAGCAGTTCTTGGAAGCTCAGAGAATAAAAAACTAAATTATAGCTATTACTGCCTGAATGAACTGTAAAGGTGACCCTGGTGGACATCTTCAGAAAATTGATGAAGAAACCATCATTTATGCCTGTGGAACAACACATCATGAAAATCACTTTTAGGTAATCTGGCCAGTTTTGTTATTTTCTTTGATTTATCCCTAAACTGTGTTTTTTGTCTGTCTTTTGTGTGAGTAGGGCTGGAAACAAAGGTTTAATTTTTGCTCTGCTGAATTACTATAATTGGTAATAAGCTGCCAAGATTTTGTTTAAGATAGCAACTGGTGTCTGGAATTGATTATTCACAGAATCTGGGAAACATTATTCAAAAATTTGGTTAGGAACCATTAGGATCAATTTTGTTGGTTTTTGAAAGTATTAATTTTACTTATTACTTATTAAAAGTATTAATTAATTACGAATAGAGGTAGAAAGGCTGATTTTATTTGTCTGTCTGTCTCCATGTCATAACAAAAGGCAAGTTTTATGATCCCCTATCAAATACATCTCCTTTCTGCTTCTAGTACTGAACCACACATGAATCACAAAGTTGCAATCACCCAGATAGATTCCTAAGCATTTGCAATACAGGCAGCCTACAGATGCAATATGTTCATTATTGGAGTAGTTGAAAACTAATCTTGTTTTCTCTCAGTGCCTTGAATCTCCCTTTGCTTTCAAATATTTATCCAACATTTAGTTTTGAAAATTCCAGTTTCCACTATTCTCTGTGGTTAAATATCCCATTTCCTAACAATCTTAAAAAGAAGCTTTTAATCATTTTTAAAATTTCATTCATGAAATGTGGTCATTGCTGCTTGACCAGCATTTATCGACCATCCCCAATTGCCCTGTAGAATGCAATGGTGAGCTGCCTTCATGTACCACTGCAGTTGTTGGATGTAGAGATATCCTCAGTGCTGCTAGGAAGGAAGTTCCAGGACTTTGCCACTGTGACTGTTGTTATGAGCAAGCCCAATTTATTAGTGTTTCAGACAGGATGCTCCCAAATTATTAATCTCTTGGGCAAGGAAGAATGACTGACTCTGGTTAATTGCATTAAGGTTAATTTAAAAAGGACCCTTCTCTTTGTGGACATCTTTCTCCCCAACCAAACTTATGTTTTAAAAGGAGTCAAATTACTAGGCTTTCTTGAGTTAATAAAAGACTGAGTTTATTAGTTTCTAAACACAAAAAGAAATAATAATCCAACACATGTACACAGATTAGGGTCAAGATGTAAATCTGATTCTTTTTTAAATTAAGTCTCTGAATCATTTGTGAAGAGGGGATAGTATTAAGTTGTAGCTGTTACATGGGGTGGTGCTGATAGTGTTGACATTGATAGTGAACAATTAATTATCAGTTTGTGTTTACTGTTTGAATGCAATTATTTTTTCCTGGTTCCTTTCAATAGTGGCTGGCTGCCAGCACTTAAAATTAGAGAGTATTTTCTTAAAGTTAGAAAGTATTTTCTAAAGTTAGAGAGTATTTTATTAAAGTTAGAGAGTATTTTTTTCCCTTTACCTGCAGTATAAAGATGCATAATGGCTGTTCTCACACTGTAAGCTTCACAGCATATGACTCCACACACTTGTAGGTCAGGCCATGAACATGCACAGAACAAGGGTTGCAGTTGGTTTTTAATCTCCGTAAAGGTAAAACATAACCAGAGGGAGTCAGCTTCTTGTAATTGATTCCTTTTTCAGTCTGTTTTGCAGTTTTCTTAACTCTCTTCAAGTGTGGACATTCCAAGGGTCTGTACAAGACTCTGCAAGATAATGATTGTAGTTATCTTTTACTATCAACTGTAGTGCCCTCATTTAATAAAAACACATGCTGGAATTAAAAGTTTAATAATTCCATAAATACTTCAAAGTTTTGATCTGCCATCATGACATAATGAAGGAGCATTTTAAAAGTGAGTTTGAAATTAATTATCTCCTGTTCTTGGCTCCCTAAGCAGAGGAAATGTTTTGGGTTTGTCTTTCTTTACACTATCAACATCTCTTACAATTAAGTGAATCTATATTAATTCCTTTCTTGGGCTCCTCTGCTCCAGTGGAAATAGACCTGGATTTTCATATTGTCTTCATAAAAGTGGGCCAGAATGTGCTATCAAAATAGCAGTAAGGCTGTTGGCATGTTCATGAGTGAATGATACAGCAGCTTAAAAGGATTAGCTGATGTGTGATTAACTGTCAATGTCCAAAAGTAGCTTTTCCAAGTTTCATCTCTTTGCCATTAGCTTCCTTGACTGGTAGACTTCTTACAATCCAAATTTGGAGTCACTCTGTACCTACCAAATTCTGAAGCAGAGTTCCTTACGATGCTGCCATCCCCCTCTTGGTGTGCATTGATGTATAGCCCAGCATCTAGAACTCTGTTTAATTCATCCTCAGCTTGCAAATGCTTTGGTAAGGATAAGATCTTCTCTTTCCTATCTTTGATTTTGTTGAGTACCAGGAGAACTGTGACGTCTATATAAGTCAGTGTTTCAGCTGGGTTTGTACAAAATATTAGTTCAGAAACTGAGCTGTCATATAAATATAAATACAGTGGCTACAAGAGCAAGTCAGAGACTAGGAATCCTGCAGCGACTCATCTCCTGAGTCCCCAAACCACAACACTCAAGAAACTTGCTGCTATTCAGGACCAACTAGCCTGCTTGATTTTCACCACATGCACAGACATTCATTCCCTCCACCACCAACACTCAGTGCTATCTACAAGATGCAATTCAAAAATTCACTATAGCTCCATATATAGTACCTTACAAATCCACAACAATGATCATCTAGAAGGTCAAGGGCAGCAGATACCTGGGATTGCTACCATCTGCAATATCTCTTCAAAGCCACTCACTATTTTGACTTGGAAATATATCGCTGCTCCTTTATTGTTACTAGGTCAAAGTCCTGGAACTCCCCCCATTATGGTATTATTGGTCTGCCTGAGCCAAATGCATTTCAGCAGTTCAAGAAGGAAGCTCACCGTCACTTTCTCAAGGGTAATTAGGGATGGGCAATAAATGCTTGCCCAGCCAGCAAACCAGAATTGAAGTTTAAAAGTTCTAAGCCAGCAATAATAATGGACATAAAACAACACAGTGTGGAGCCAGAGGAACACAGCAGGCCAGGCAGCATCAGATGAGCGGAAAAGTTGACATTTCAGGTCAGGACCCTTGACCTGAAACATCAACTTTCCTGTTCTTCCAATGCTGCCTGACCTGCTGTGTTCCTCCAGCTCCACACAGTGTTTGTCTCTGACTCCAGCAACTGCAGTTCTTGCTATCTCCAAATAATAATGGATATGTCATTTTTAGATCAAACATCAATATTTGGTTTGCACACACAAACCTTTTTGATGATCTTAATAATTTCCTGAAATAGTGTGTTAGCACACTAACAATAACCACTTATTGCTATGTTAAGCCTGTATTAGAATATGTAAAATCATGTATACATCACTAATTGACATATGGTACATTTGTCTAATCTGGTTGTACTATCCCTCACAATCCTATTATCTGAGCATGTACACATGAATTTATTGCTCAACAGCTATAGTCTCCACTTTATTTTTCATGGAAATGCTTATTAGCAGTATTCTATCATTCACAAGCTGCAAGGCTTAGAATGAATTTGCATAAAGGATGATCCAACTCCACATCTATCTGTTTCAGGAAAGAAAACCAAAAAGAGACGCAAGGCTGCATTCTTCAGAAAACACAATAAATCGTGTAACATATTATGGTAACCACAAACAAAACACTGTTGACCCAGACTATCAACAAATGTTTTCCAGAATTTCTTGCAACAATCAAAGTAAGTGCATTTTATGAATTTTATGAATAACATATATTTTTGGAAAAAAATGTTAAAGATATAACCAAGTGAATCTTATGGTGAATAACTAACTTCAACAATTGAAGAGAGCACTCAGTAGAGTGGCCCATTACAATTACACAAATCTTCCTTGAGGCTTTTCCTTACCTAGTTGATGCTCTGGAAAATCTGAAAAAATAAATCTCCTTATGTCTCATTGATGAAGCTTCAAGCCAATTCACATTCAAGCTCTTAAAAAAACATTTTGACACCTGTGTACAAATTGCACCACTGTGGCTGAGACAACCGTTCGAAAACAGTTAACAATGCTACTACTCCAATAATAATCCAAATGTTGTTTAAAAAAAAGCTAGTTCTTCCAATCCTCCAACATTGACCACTCCTTTAAATAAATTACAGATCTGCAACTTAGCCGAATATTAATCTGATCTTCTATGGCCCATACCATATCTCAATACCACATTTTGTTGAAATCTGTCCCTTAATTTTAAGATTTATTGTTAAAGATAATTGGACGAAGACATTTAAATAGAAACAAAATACTGAGGATGCTGAAGATCAAAAGTAAAAACAGAAAATGTTGGAAAAACTCTAGGTTTGGTGGTAACTGTTGAGACAAACAGTTCAAGTGTAATATGATCACTTCAGAACAGGCAAACCAATACCTGTGGCCACCTTCTATAGCAGTTGTGATAAGAAAAATATGTCTTTATTAGTTTAGTCCCACAGGGTCTTATCCCAGATGAGAATTTGTATTGCATATGGAGTAAGCTGGAATAGCCTATTCCATATTGGTTTCATTTTCAGTGATTATTCCCTCTATCACTAGAGTGTTAGCATGTGCATCTGGTACAGCATGCATCATCTTTAGCTCCTAATGTTTCTCTCATCTGTTTGGGTAATGTTGACTGGAGCAGAGTATCTCTAAGACCCTGCAGACTCCTCAATCAGTGTACACAATATTAATTTACCCAGGCATCTTAGCATGTATCAGGAAAGGACTACATGAGTCTGCAGTCAGTGAACTAGGTCGCAACTTTATTTGAAGACAACAAAGGTTAAACATTAAATTTTACACTTCTAACAACTCTATTGCTAACTGTCCAATTCTTTAGAAACTGAAAATACTTAACAGATACTCGTAACTTTGCTGATCTGTGGAATTGTTTGCTCTGTTCCTCTTTTCATGGGTTGATTCTCTCTCTGGTCAGAGGGCGAGCTGGTGTGTTCACTGCTGTATCCTGAAGTGACTCTAGGTAGGCTGGAGAGTGGGGGTACCCAAGTCCTGCGGGTTGGGTTCTTATACCCTGCTGGTTACCTTCTGGAACTTTCAAAGGACTTGACCAATCAGAGGTATCAAATTAGTTGGCTTTATCACCTTGAAATGCTGCTAATGGCTCTCGATGGCTTGTTTAACAATGACCCCTTTGATGTGTCTGCTCTTGGGCCTGGAAGTCTGGTTTCATATCAGAGTATACACTTGCTGTTTTGTCTTACTGAGGCATGTCTGCCTCATGCATCTAGTATTTGTTTGTCAGGAAGGGTTGAATTGCCTTTGCACACTTCCTGATGTGTTATGATACCTAACAAAAACCAAAAGAACTGCGGATGCTGTAAATGAGGAACAAAAATAGAAGTTGCTGGAAAAGCTCAGCAGGTCTGGCAGCATCTGTGAAGAAAAAGTCAGAGTTAACGTTTTAGGTCCGGTGACCCTTCCTCAGAACCTCAGTCCTTAGTTCTGAGGAAGGGTAACCGGACCCAAAACATTAATCTGATTTTTTCTTCACAGGTGCTGCCAGACCTGCTGAGCTTTTCCAGCTACTTCTGGTGGTGTTGTGGTACCTCTCTGGTTTCAATTGTTTGGGCTTGGATCTTGTAAGGACTTGACCTGAGGCAGAATTGTCTTTTGTATCTATCTTGGCTCAGGCATTCCCAGCATACTTTGCTTGTTGGCCAGTTTTGATGCCCTGTTTATTTCAGTTGCCGTGCCTGTATTTCTGGCCTCTTAATCATTTTTATTGCACTTGAACAGTCGCAGGCTGCTGCAGGAAAGATATACAAAATGCTCTGTGGAATTTTCTGGTTCCAATGCTTTTGGGATGTGGGAATGCTCCGTGTAGAACTGATGGTCGAAGCACCAGTTTGTCTCAGTAGTACTGCTCAAATCTGAGTCAAATGATTGTCCAACAGTGGGATTTATTGATATAAATTAGTCTAATGCTCCATTGAAGCACTGAAGAAGTACGTTGCCAAAGAAATTAAACTTATCTACTTGTGCAGAAGATATAAACAATTACATGGGTACAATAACAAATTTAAGGTTTCTACCCTGTGACTCAAGCTGTACAATTTAAATAGGTGGTCATCTATTCTATTGTTGTTTGTGGAGACTTGTTCAAATTGACCACTGTGATTCAAGTTCTACAGGGCAGCATGGTGGTTCAGTGGTTAGCACTGCTGCCTCACTGTACCATGGACCTGGATTTGATTCTGTGTGGAGTTTGCACATTTTCCCCGTGTCTGTGTGGGTTTCCATTGGGTGCTCTGGTTTCCTGCCACAATCCAAAGATGTGCAGGTTAGGTGGATTGGCCATGCTAAATTACCCATAGCGTCCAGGGATGTGCAGGCAAAGTGGATGGGGAATTCAGGGTTACAGGGATAGGGTAGAAGAATGAGTCTGGTCAGGATGCTCTTCAGAGCGGTTGGTGTGGACTTGAAGGGCCAAATGGCTTGCTTCCACAGTGTAGGAATTCTGTGATGATTCTGATTAATACTCATTGGGGTAGGGGTGGGGGCCTCAAAATTGGAATCAGTTGGATATGATAGATATAAATGTGAATTTGCTTTTCTCTTTACTGGTTTATTTCCTGAGTAGAGGAAATAACTTGGGAGAAAATGCACCGTATAATTTGGTAGAAAAGTGTAGTGGCCAACCAAATCAATTACTCATACTGGAAGCTTGAAGCTGCAGTTCATTGAATGTAAAGGTTATCACAAAAAAGTGGGTAATATATTATTTCTTTTCATAGCATTTGTGAGACTCGCCAATACAAGCAACAACTGTTGTGTAAATGCCCTTCTGCAAACCTTATTTATGATTCCAGAATATAGCTGTCTACTTTCAAAGTAAGTTCCAATTTTGCTGATTTATTTGCTTTATTCAGATTTATAACTAAGTAAGATTATTTTTATATCACTCAATTTAGCTTCTAGCAGATTTTGCAAAATTTACGTTATTCGAGAAACACCTTTTTTATATTTTACACATGGACAAACACTTCTACCTTATCCTAACTGATGGCTCTTTTTATTGATTCCTATGTAACTCATTCAAAGGTAATCAGATTGAATTTTGGCTTAATGAGGAAGTCATGCTTCAGTTATATAGAACTTTCGGTCAGAACGCATGCAGATATTGGATTCAGTTGAGAGCAATGAAACACAACAATAATTTAGATTTATACAGAGTTTTTAACATACTGAAACATCTCAAGACAGAAGCATTATATAAATAAAATGTAACAGCAGTGAACATAAGGAGATTTTAGTTCAGATGACCAAAACTTTTAATTAATAGAATGGTGTTTCAAGGGGTTTCACATAGACATTATAACGGAACACTGAACTGGATTACATAAGGAGATATTGGGCAGATGACCAAATGGTCAATCAAAGTGGTTTAACAAGGAGTATCTTAAAAAATGAAAGACAGACAGAAAGCTTAAGAGTGTAAATTTCATAACTTAGGACCTTGGCAGCTGGAACAATTAAAATAGGCCACGTTTAGGGATATGTCATAGGGTTGTGGGACTGGAGGAAATTTCAGAGATGTGGAGGAGCAAGGGCATGAAGGGAATTGAGATTAAGCAGGAGTATTTAAAATAACCTAGTGTAGTTAATGAGCAGAGGAGTGATGGGTGAACAGGACTTGCTGCGAATTATAAATTTTAGGAAGTATGAAATAACTATGATAAATTGGGAATTTTACTTTGGAAGAAAGACATGATGGTGCATAGGCAATAGCAACTTTTGAAAGCATGTTCAAAAACCCAATACTGCTACCATTTAGAAGGACAAGAGCAGCAGTTATGTGGTGAACAAATCATTGTTCCTTCACTGTTGTTGGGTCAAAATCCTGGACCTCCCTCCCTAACAGTATTGTTGGTCTACTGACACCAAATGAACTTAAAGCAGTTCAAGAAGAATTTAATTGGAGGAAATTCCTGCTCATCACCACCTTCTCAAAGGTAATTAGGGATGATAATAAATACTGGCCCAGCCACAATAGCCCATGAATGAATAAAAATAGAATTTGGACACCAGAGTTTTGAATGACCCCAAATCTGCAAAGGATAAAATGGAGAAGATTAGTTTGGATTACACAGAATGGTCAGGTCTAGAAGGAACATAGAAATGAGCAAGGATTTCAGATGCAGATGAGCTGAGATACAGTGAAGGCATATTGATGGAAATAAATTATCACCTTAGTGATGGCACAGTTATATGGACAAAAGCTTACTTCAGGGTTAAATGTGACACCAAAGGTATGAACACATCAGCCTCACACAGTTATCAGGCAAAGTGATGGAGTCGGTAGCTAAGGAGCAGAGCTTGAAAGTAATTTCTGTACAGTGACAGGGGCAGAAACCTGTTTAGAAGGATTCAAAAATGAAGTTTCAGGAAACAAGGGTACAAATTGGGTAAGAGTAAAAGGTTTGGAATGGTAGTTTGCAAGGATTCCATAAAGGGTTGGTTTTCCAGCAGATGAATGATGACATTATGTTTAAAAGAGAGAAGGACAACATCTGAAGAAAGATTCATTTACAGAATCAGCCAACAGAAGGGGATGTTGAGTGGTCAGAAGGTTAGTTGGAACAAATCAAAGGAACAAGATGTGTGTTTCAAAGACAATATGAACTCAGAGAGAATATGAGGGGAGCTAGGAAATAAACAAATTTTAAGAAACTATTTGAATTCAGGGCTAAAACACAGGGAGCTTTAAAGAAAATTAGCTTTGGTGGGCTGGTGAAGGAGGGAAAAACAATAAATGCAGTAGATTGTATGGATTCACTTTTAGTGATAAATATATCTATGAGTTCCTTGCACATTTTGAAGGAAATGAATGTGGAGTAGATGGGAGAGGGTTTTAAGAAGATGGCTTATTGTAGAGAAAAGAAGCCAGAGATTTTTTTTTTTCTTTCCAGAACAAATCCTGGAATTATGAGCACTTCTAACAGACAAAAACTGTATGCAATAGTGCTTTATGTGTTCAGCAAGTTGTGGCAGTGAACAGCAAAACCAGCCACATCCATTCATGTTTGAAGTCCAGTGAGCAAAGCTGCAATGAATAGTCACAATAATTTGAATGGGGAGTAGAGCATCAAAAGATGGAAATTACACTAAAGTTTGACAAATTAGTAGCTGCAGAAATGTTGAAGTAAAGTGACGACCAGATGTTATATGGTTTAACGTGTGTACAGAATGGTTTTTCTAGATCAATCTGTTGAAGAACCAACCAGAGAAGAGGTCATCCTATACTTGGTATTGTGCAACAAGAAAGGAATAATTGGCAATCTAGTATTGCAAGGCCACTTGGAAGAAGACTGGCCATAATAAAACAGAATCCTTTCTCTTAAACAGAGGGTGATGCAGTTGATTCTGAGACTAGGGTCCTGAATCTAAATAAAGGAAACAATGATGTCAGGAAGCGAGAGATAACTATGATAAAATGTTAATTTGGAAAAAAGTCATAATGATGCATAAGCAGTAGCAAGCATTTAAAAAGTGCATGGAGCAACTGCCTAAATTATTTGTTCCTGCCTGACACAAAAATAAAACAGAAAACGTAACTTGACCATGGCTAACTAGGGAAATTAGGGATGGTTTTAAATCCAAGAAGGGACATACAAATTGGCCAAAAAAAGCAGCAGACCTGAGGATTGGCAGCAGTTGAGATTTGAGCAAAGAAGGACAAAAGGATTGACTAAGACGGGAACAATAGAATACGAGAGTAAGCTTATGGGGAACATACAAACTGATTGTAAAAACTTCAATTGTTATGTGAAGAGAAAAGGATGAGTGAAGACAAATATAAGTCCCTTACAGTCAGAGACAGGGCAAGTTATAATGGGTTATAATGGCAGACCAATTAAATAGATGTTTTGGTTTTGTCTTCATAAAGAAGGACACAAATAACATCCCAAAAATGTTCGGGAATGGAGAGTTTAGCGAGAGTGAGGAACTGAAAATATCAGTTTTAGTAAGGAATTGGCATTGAGAAAATTGATGAAATTAAAGGCTGATAAATCTCCAGGGACTGATAATCATGAAATGCTTTGAGAGGCTGGTCATGGCCCACATCAACCCTTGTCTTCCAGCCTGCCTCAATCCCCTACAATTTGCCTACCGATGCACAGCAGAGGCCTTTTCCCTAGCCCTGCACTCATCCCTGGAACACCTGGACAACAAGGACACCTACGTCAGACTTGTGCTAGTCGAGTACAGCTCTGCCTTCAACACCACTATCCCACCAGACTGATCACAAAACTCCGAGACCTTGGTCTTGGCTCCAACCTTTGCAACCAGTACCTCAGCTTTCTGACCCACAGACCTCAATAAGTGAAGATAGACAACTGCACCTCCTCCACAATAACACTCAACACAGGACCCCCCCAAAGATGAGTCCTCAGCCTCCTACTGTACTCCCTGTACACCCACAACTGTGTTGCCAAATTCCAAACAAACGCCATTTACAAGTTTGCTGATGACACCACTGTGGTAGAACAGATATCTAATAATGACGAGTCAGAATACAGAAAGGAGACAGCAGGCTTGATGATGTGATGCAGTGAGAACAACCTCCCTCTCAACATCAGCAAAACTAAAGAACTGATCACTGACTTCAGAAAGAAAGGAGGAGAACGCACTCCCATCTACATCAACCAAACTGAGGTTGTGAGGGTGAAGAGCATCAAGTTCCTAGCAGTGATGATAACTGACAACTTGGACTTGCCACGTAGATGAGACAGTCAACAAGGTACATCAACGCCTCTTCTTCCTCAGGCGGCTTGGCAAATTTGGCATGTTCATAAGGTCCTTCACCAACTTCTACAGATGCACCATTGAAAGCACACCATTAAGGTGCATAACGGCCTGATATGACAACTGCTCTGCCGAGGACCGCAAGAAACTACAGAAGGTGGTGTGCACAGCCCAGACCATCACGGAAGCCAACCTTCCATCCATGGACACCATTTACACAGCTCGCTGCCGCGGAAAGGCTGCCAACATCATGGAAGACCCATTACTGGTAATGCTCTCCTATAACCTCTTCCCTCAGGCAGAAGATACAGAAGCTTGAACACATGTACCAGCAGGTCCAGGAACAGCTTCTTCCCAGTCGTTATTAAACTGATGAATGGAGTCCTGACCTTCAAATAATGCTGATCTTGCTAATGTTGATCTTGCCTAGCGCACTCCCTGTGCAATATAACCTATACGCTTCTGACTAAGTTGCCTTCTACCCTATGATCTGTATGATCTTGCTCGCTATGATCTGCCTGTACTGCTCGTAAACAAAGCTTTTCACTATACTTAGGTACACGTGACAAAAAATAAATCAAATCAAATCTAAATCCGAGAGTAGTTAATGAAGTGGCCCTGGAAATAGTGGATGTTTTGGTGATCATCTTTCTATAGATGGCCTACAGACTTTGGATTGTAGGGTAGCTAACGTAACCCTATAAATTAAAAAAAGAGGTAGAAAGAAAACAGGAAATTATAGAATTATGGAGGGTTTACCAGATTGATTGCTGGGTTGGCAGGACTGATGTATGAAGAGAGACTTGATCAGTTAGGAAAATATTCACTGGAGTTCAGAAGAATGAGGGGGATTTTCATGGAAATTTGTAAAATTATGATAGGGCTAGACAGTGTAAATGCTGGAGGGATGTTCCCAATGACCAGAGAGTCCAGAACCAGGGGTCATGGTTTACGGGATAAGCCATTTCTGACTAAGATGAGGAGAAATTGCTTCATCCAGACAGAGGTGACCTGTGGAATTTTCTGCCACAGAAAGTGGTTGAAGCCAAAACATTAAATGTTTTCAAGGAAAAGGAGGATCCAGTTCTTAGGATTAAATGGATCAAACCAAATTGGGAAAAAGCAGAAACAGCATACTGAGTTGGATGATCAGCCACGATCATATTGAATGGCAAAGCATGCTTGAAGGGCTGAATACCCTCTTAAGATTTCTCCTGGCGACGAAGTAGGAGCCTGTTCTTTTTCCTCCTTTTTCCCCTTTTCCTTCTTTTTTCTTCTTCTCTGCCCTCAGCAGCGAAGTCAATGCAGCAAGTCCAGAGCAGTGAGCCCTCGTGCCCTGGAACACCATGGGCAGCGAGCCCTGCAGCAGCGCATGGGCTGTGAGCCCCAGAGCAGCGTGTGGAACAGCCCTGCAAAAGCACATGGGGAAGCAGCCCTGGAGCATCGCGCAGGCAGTCAGCATGAACTGGTTGGAGTAGGCAACCCGAGGTGGTGCCAGAGGGGCCGAGTCCCCGGAGCAATGGTGGTGGGGGGTGGGGGGGGCGAGAGGGGTGGGGGGTGTGGTGGTGGCTGCGGTTCGAATCCCAGTACAGCGCGATTTACCTGGTTGCTGCTGAGTCCCGATGAGGAGCGGACTGGAGGCTGGAGCAATGCAGGATAATTGCTGGACTCGGGCCTGGTGCCACATGCTGAGCTGCTGTTATCGGACTGTAATTAAAAACCTTTTCACCATGTTGTAACTACCTCTGTAAGTAATACCTATGCTTTCCTTTAATCCTCTTTGTGTAAGACTACTATACTTTTTGTACCCTGTAAGATTTGTACTGAGGTACTTGCTCCTAAGATGGCGCCATTAAAAGGCAGCCATTGTAAAAACTTTTCACTGTAGTCCTATACTTCTGTATTGTAGTACAAGTGACAATAAAGGATATTCTATTCAAATGTTCTATCCAACTCCTACTCCCATTTTCTATGTTTCTATTGTTAGGATTTTGAAAATGTAATTGTAAGTGAGTAATTGTAAATTAATTGAGAGGGAGTTCTTCGAAGGGTGGATACAACGAAAATTTATGTTTATACAGTGCCTTCAACATAATTAAACATCACGGAAGCGTTATAAAATGAAGTATCAAACTCAGCCACACAAGGAGATATTAAGGCAGATAACCAAAAGTATGGTCAAAGAATTCAGCTTTAAGAAGTGGTCTAAAGTTGGGGAGTGAAGTCGAGAAACAGAGAAGTTTAGGGGAGAATTTTCAGAGCTTCAGGAGTTCCAGGGCCACAGCCACTGAAAGGATGAAACTGATAGTAAAGCACTAAAAGGCGGGAACGGACAACAGCTCAGACTTAGATCAGCACAGGATTCTTGGAGGTTTATCAAACTGGAAGAGATTACAGAGACGGAGAGAGAGTTGAGACCATGAAGTGATTTGTACCCAAGGATGAGAATTTTAAATCCAGATATTGCTCGACTGAGTGCCAGTATGTCAACAAATGTAGGAGTGATATTGGAATGGAATTTGCTACAAGTTAAGACACAGGCAGCAGAGTTTTGGATTATCTTAGGTTTATGTAGGTAGAATGTGGACACCGGCTCGGGATGTGTTGGAATAGTCGAGTATAGAAGTGATGAAGGTTGGAACAAGAGTTTCACCACGAACTGACGCACGAACAAAGTCAGTTGATGTTCATAGACAGAAATAGGTGGTCTTACCAATGGCATGAATACCAGGTTGAAATCTCATGTCAGGATCAAATGCGACACTAAGGTTCCAAAAAAACTGACTTCACCTCAGACAATCGTGATTGTGAAAAATGCAATGAGTTAGCTGGGGAATGGAGTTTAAGAGTGGGGACTGAAAATAATACCATAAGTCTTTGCGTTATTTAATTGTAGGAAATTTCCACTCATCCAGGGCTGGATATTGGACAAGCAGTCTGATAATTTAGCAACAGTGTTTCTTGTCAGTGTACATGTAAAAGCTAACTCAAAGCTATTGCTCAGAGGTGCAATATGTTGATTAGAAATTGAAAGAGGCCAAGGATGTATCCTTGGGAGGCGCTACAGGTGAGAATGCGGGGACAGGAAAAGAATATGATTCTCTGGATATTGTTAGATCGGTAAAAGTGGAACCAGATCAGAGCAGTCATACCATGGACAGCAAAGGAGAGGCATTAGAGGAGGATGGAGTGGTCACCTGTGCTAAAGGCTGCAAACAGGCACAGAAGGACAGAAACTTTGCCAATTACAGTGGATTTTAGCTGTGACTTTGATAAGAGGTACTGTGGCAGGAGCAGGGACCCTTTTCCAGGGAAGTCTGGAATGGATTTGGGAGGTGTAAACACCTTCAAGGACTATGAAGAGCAAGAGGGACAGTAATTTGCAAGGACAGTTGAATTTGTGGAAGGGGTAACAGTGTTAGATTTAAAGGATTTGACAATGTCAGCTAACATGAGGGAGGCAAAGTTAGGTGATCAGCAGTTTATTGGGAACAGGATTAAGATGGAAAAAAAGTGTAGGGTTGGTACGGGGAAAGAGTTGTGGATGGAGAATGATGTAAAGTATTGATCAGAGATAGCCTTAACAGTGATTAATGTAACAGAAGCACAGTGCTTTTTATAGATATTTTTAAATATACATTGGCCTTACAGTGGTTACACATGCTTTTATCAGCAAGATACCAGAATTTAAGAGGTTAAGTCAAGAAGATAGGTTGCATGAATCTGGTTTCTATTTACTTATGTTCAGATAATGGAGAAGAGATCAAACTGAGGCCTTAGAGAGCTGATTCAGAAAACTATTTATTCTGTAGGACGTTTCAGGGATTAAATCTTAAAATCAGGAAGAAATATTGTTTTATTTCTTATACAGAAGCTACTGGAAATTTTAAACACCCCCAAAAAAATTGAGTCTTAGTGAGGTCTTCAAGATTGATATTATTAAACATTTGTTTATATAAGAATATCAAGGGATTCAGAACAAAGGCAGGTAAATGGAGTCAGGGTACATTCCACTTATCAGTTGGGATGTTTTCCTGATTTCACAGTCGATTGTTTGTTACTTGCAAAGTGTGTTGATGACTTAGTTTCTGAAATGAAGATTGATGATAAGCTTGGTTGTCAACACGCTGCAGTTTTGTCAGTTGTTAGGTAGCAGTGCCATCTACTGGCAGGTTTCTACAAATATTCACACATGGGATATGGGTGTTTCTGGCTGGGCCAAAATTTATCATCGCCCTCCTGAACTACTGCAGTCCATGTACAACCATGGTGCTGTTAGGGAGGGATTCCAGTCTTTGTATAAAGAACAATACAGGAGTTTTCAGTGACCTGTCATTTTCTGATTCACTTCAAATTACAGATTCAGGTTAAATCAGTTTGCACGATTCCATTAATTAGAAAACACATTAAAAGGAGCCAGTTATCTGACTTTAGTGCTTCTATTGCAATCACCAACTATGTGAAGTATTACAAATGGAAGGGAATAGCAAGGTATGTTGAGTACTGTTATATATACCAAGTGTTCCCACAATTGTTTGAAAAATATGGCACCCACTACCACACAGTACAGGCTAGCAATCTCCAGGCTTTTGTTCCGAAACTTGTTTGAAGTAATGAATCTCAATCAGGCATAGTAAAGGCACAACATAAATGCTTAGACATCTTGACATAGGGAGAACTTTTTGAGAAATCCGCAAGGCCTGATTGTGTTACCCTTCTAGTATGTGGATGTTGATCAGCTAAAGGATCAGGCTCAGCTGCGATGTACCTTGCTGTCAGCACTGGGGCTAATATAAGGAAGCATAGTTCAGCACAGTGCCAGAGGGCTCCTACGCACAGCATGTATTTTAGCCCTTCAGTAGAGGACAATTGATACCTAACAAAATAAATTCATTAATAGGTGGGATTTATATTCTTGGCCTGCAGCCTGTCTGTTTCCCTAACCACACTCTGCTGTTATCAACTTGTACAGAACTGAAGCAAAGTGTCTGTGGATTACTTAGTAGCTGTAAAGTGCTTGATATGGCCTTGCAATTAAATCTTCATCTTGTTGACTGTCAAGCAATGTCCATGATACAGAAAAACTGAATGTAAAGGAAATTAACATTATAACTAACAGAAACTATTTGCTGTGAAATACCTTGCTATTTAAAGTGCCAAAATTCTTTATATTGTTTCTAATTATAATTTGTGATCCAATAGGTCTGTTCTGAAACAAAACAGGCCAATTTTCACCAATGTCATGGCCTCTCAGTTTTATTTTGTCTATCCCTGTTTATCCCAGAATTCTGTTCGGTTAGATTTAGGTTCATTTGTTTCTTTATTACAGTTGCCAACAGAAAGGCCTTCTGATAAAAGCCAATAGCCACATTCTATATCACCTTGGCAAAGTATTCCAGCAACTGCACAACAAAACTAAGAGCACTGTATCGCCTGATAAATTTATTCGGTGCTTGGTGTTAAACCATATTAATGGTAAGTACGCTATCCATTTCAGTTAGAATATTTAATGTGACTTTATCTATGAACAAGGAGTGTGCAAAAGATCTGATGAAACTGGTTTAAGAAATGAAAAGAAATGCAATACATTAAGTTTCAGTTGAAATACTGTCTTATTGGTAATAATGTCTAGGGGGAGACTGAAGCACACTGATGTACTAATACTTTCTGAGGTGGCATCGAGGGACATGTTGTTACTGCTCTTCATCCCACCCACCCTGCTCCCAAACACACCATTCTCTATCTATCAAATTCCTAACCTCATCGTTGTTCATTAGTAACTAGCATTTCTATTGTACCTTTAATGGAAGAAAAAGTCCCAAGGCACTTCACAGAAACATTACCATTGAGGCTTTGATACAGAGCAACATAATGTAAGATCAGAGGAGATGTTCCTCCCAGACCCACATCAGTCCTCAATACAAATCAGCAGCTTTATTATTAGGTTAGCCTTTTAAAGTCATTTTTATAGGACATTGTAAATTTCATGGGATACAGATAATTTCGAACAATTAATGTATAATATTCCCAAATGTTTAAGTGTTTTGTTTCTACATTTATTTTAAGTGGGGAGTCAGATGGATGCTGAGGAACTCTTCCGTTCACTCTGTAATCTATTACAAGACCAGTTGAAGAAGACAATGTTTGTAAGTATGGGAAAAATATAATTACTTTATCCTTCTATCATACCATTGCATCAAGTTGTAGGGAATGATCAAGTAAACATATTTAGAGGTGTACACAGATTGTCCTTCCAAAGATTCCTCTGCTGTGGGAAAGATTCATCTTATTAGGTATTAGACAGTCTAACTTTACATCATCCAAACAGTATTCTTCATGAGTGAGTGCCAGTAAGTTACTCATCAGTGGAGGACATCACTTCTATCACAATACTATTTTCATCTGTTGGATCTACTATTTGCACGTAGGGTCTTGGACCTTGTGTGAGAAAAATTACCCCAGTATTTTCTCTTGTATTATTTTGCTGTAGTTTGTGGTAGAGTAACCCCGCTCCCCTGCGCCCCCCGCCGTGACTCCACCACTAACCTACCCACCAATGTTCAGTTAGTCCCCTGTTACAACCCTTTTAAAAACTTTACTCAACACAGCAGATGTTGTCATTAAAAAGTTGAGGTGGACTCTCCATCACATATCTTTATCATTGCTTGACTTGAATGATTAGGATGAGAGATCACTACTGCAACTGGTACACGAAGATCCAGCTGCAAGGAAAGAAAACACATCACAGATATTGAATACAATATGTTCTCAGTCAGTGATCACTGCTGACCAGAAGGTCTGCCCCTGGACCTTTATTGGCACTCAGAGTACCAAGTATTCTTTGAACAATTGATCTGGCCCTAGAAAAATAATTTCTTTTTTGGGATGTGCGTGTCACTGGCTGGGCCAGCATTTGTTGCCCATCCCTAGTAGCCCCTGGAGAAGGTGCTGCTGATATCCTTTCTTGACAGCCACAGTTTGTGTGGTATAGGGACACCCACAATGATGTTAGGAAGGGAGTCCCAGGCTTTTGACCCAGTGGCACTGAAGGAACGGTGATATATTTCCAAGTCAAGATGGTGAGTGGCTTGGAGGTGAACTTGCAGTGGATAGTCTTCCCTTGTCTCTGTCGAACTTATCCTTCAACGAGGTAACAGTTGTAGGTTTGGAAGGTGCTCTTCAAGAAACCTTGGTGAATCTCAAAAAAAAATATCTGTACATTGCTCCATTGTTCATTAAAGTCAGAGTCATAAAGATGAACAGCATAGAAACAGACCCGTCAGTCCAACTCGTCTATGCCGACCAGATATCCTAAATAAATCTAGACCCATTTGCCAGCATTTGGCCGATATCCTTTCTAAACCATTCCTAATCATATACCCATCCAGATGCCTTTTAAATGTGGTAATTTCCAGATTTTTAAAATGATTAACAAAAATGAAATGTTGTTCATGATTTTTCAGCATCCATGTTAAATCGTATCAGTATCAATATTTATTTCTATGTAAAAATAGATTCGGTATTACTGCTTTTCATTTCCTGATTTGCCGTCTGTGAAAATGTATTTGTGTGATCAGCTGTTTCTGGAACCTGATGTCATCACTGCAACTTAACAGTGGAAACTCCCGGAGTAGAACACTACTATCAATTGGAAATCAAGAGAGCTAAATCTCTCGCCGTGTGGACCACGAGATCTTGTGATTTAGCTTTCTGGCTGATACAAGGCATTTGATCTCACTTTGCCATTGAGCGCAAATTCTGGACCATAGTACCAATGTTGCAATGCTCTGGAAGAGAATTGAAAAGTGACGTACGTTAATACTTTTCCAAATTTTCTGTTTACTTTTCTACAGAACAGATTTGTTGATGATTTGCATGTGCTAACCATTGAGGAATATGGAAAATGTTTAAAATGCCAAAATGAATTCCAGCATGTTGGACACATGCTCACTATTCCTCTTTCACTTTACGAACCTTCATCGGAGAAATGTTATCAGAATGTAGTAAGTGTAACTTTTTAAAACTCATTTTGATTAAACGTGAAATATTCTAGGAGTCAGATGTGGATTTGTCCTTTCATGTTTGATGTGATGTTTGGATATTGAACCTAATGCTGAATTTCAATCTTGAATGGCATTTTGGTTAATACAATTTCCCCTAACTTTGACAATTCTAGGAAGTTTTTCAATAACCAAGCAACATGACACAGTTTAGCACAAAATAATTAATAGTTGGATTTAGCTAATGGTTTCAATTAATTCTGTAATCTGTATGTTGATCACAAAATCAATATTTACACAAGGTTAAGTAAAATTATGCATACTTTCTGCAAAGCTAAACTGAATAAAGCCAATCACATCATTATAAAAGTGTTAGGAAACAACCAATACCTCAGAATGTGAACCCTTTCTCCTTACTGATTGATATTGCAAATTAAAACAAAGCAAGGAAGTAGCTTGTTGTTGAGTTTTTTATTGATCTAGACAGGTACAAGATTCGTTGATAGCTATCCTACACTATTGTTGATCTCTGTGCCTGTAGAGAACATGTATTCAATGTTAATTTAGGAACTTAAAACTTTTTGTGTTTGAAGTTTTATTTTATTATTTGGTCATGTGATGTGGATTTTGCCTGCTAGGCCAGTATTTATTGCTCGTTATTAAATGCCCTCAAGAAAGTGAAGGTGAGTTGTCTTTTTGAACTGTTGCAATTCTTGGAGTGTAGATTTGTCCACACTGCTGTTTGTAAGGGAGTTCCAGAATGATGATGCAGCGATAGTGAAGAAATAACAACATAGTTCCAAATGTGGATATTGAGTAGCTTGGAGAGGAACTTGCGGATAGTGATGTTCTCATGTATCTGCTGCCCTTGTCTTTAAAGGTGGTAGAGGTTGCAGGTTTGGAAGATGTTGTCGAAGGATCCTCGGTGATGTTGCACACCACTACCACTGTACATTGGCATTAAAGGGAGGGAAGGATTAAGGTGGTGCTTGTGGTAACCATCCAGCAGGTTGCTTTGTCCTTGATGATGTTGGACTTTTTGAGTGTTGTTGGAGCTGTACCCTTCCAGGAAAGTATCCCATCACACCTAAGAATTTTGCCTTGTAGATAGTGGACAGACATTCATAAAAGGAGGGAGACCATCAATCAATTAGCCTAACATCTATTGTTGAAAAAATATTGGAACCAATTATTAAGGAAGTAGTAGCAGCACATTTGGAAAATTATAGCTTAATCAAGCAGAGTAGGCATGGCTTCATGAAAGGGAAATTGTGTCTGGCCAATTTATTAAAGATTTTCAAGGAAATCTGAATCAGAAAGAATAGAAAGGAACCAGTAGATGTGTTACACTTGGACTTCCAGAAGATGTTTTACAAAACATTAAATCATAAAGACAAGCATACCAAACGCCTTCTTCACTGTCCTATCTACCTGCAACCCCACTGTCAGGGAGATATGAACCTGCATTCCAAGGTCTCTTCATTCAGCAACACTCCCCAGGACTTTATCATTCAGTGTATAAGTCCTGACCTGATTTGCCTTTGCAAAATGCAGCACCTCACATTTATCTAAGCTAAACTCCATCTGCCACTCTTCAGCCCATTGATCCATCTGATCAAGATCC